TCCACAAAAAAAAAAAAATGTTGTCGGTTTTTGTGTTTTGTTTTAAATGAAGATCCATTAGCAAAACAACACTTGAATTGAAAAAAACGACGATGTTGTGCAAAGGACACGGTTACATTTAAAACAATTGTATGATGCATGCATTTTTGTTTCATCATTTTTTTTGTATAGAGATATCTAAAAGGTGTGCAAATATCTCAATTATCCTTTTAACAGCGTGTCTCTGTATATGTGCGTTTTTGCATTCTGCCTGGCACACAGACATTGGCAAATAACAGGATGCACACATATGAACTGCACTTCCTTGCGGCTATTTATTCATTTATATTTACATGCAAGTTTGTCGGTGTGTGTGTCTGTGAAGCAGTACATTCTAGTTGGTTGGGTTCCTGTCTGTAGGTCTATGAATGTGTGTGTATTTCTCGGGACTCTAACAATATTATGAGCCTGTTGGAAAATCTTTGCACACACACTTAGTCAGACATAATATACTCACCACTTCTATATATACCTTGTTTTATTATTTCCTTGTTCCCTTCTTCACCTTTCCCTTTAGAGTCGCCCATGTCCTTATACATACCTTCAGTGATTTAAGGAAACATGCATTTAACAAACAGTCTGCCATCTCCAGCTATTTCTTTTGTTGATGTTTGTAGCCTTGTGTGCTTTGTTGCGCATACTTTGGCTATGCGCCATGAGAGTTACACTCACCATAGAGTGAATGACGACTATGCATTTTGTTGTTTTGCTCTCTAGATCTCTTGGAATGATTAGATTTCCTTATTTTTAATTGAAGTTTAGCAGTTCTTTTGTAGAATCGTTTGAAATATTTTAATATGTGCGTAATGTTAAGCATAACAGGAAACCACATTAATTATGTCAGTTATTGTAACTTATTGCCACAACTTTAATAAATAAGGAAAGCAAATTCACAGCAGTTTTATTTTAATTCGTTGATGTTTATATTTATCGGCAAAAATTTGCATGAAAAAATTGACTTTGGATAATACTACTCACAAAAGTGAGGGTATATTTTCCATGAAGAAGAATTGTCATGTCTTCGACAAAAGAAATCACTTAGGATCTACAGGGGTTTAGGCAGTCCTTAAAATGTATTATAAAAATCTAAGCCTTATAATAGTCCCATTTTTTTAACTCAATCCTTACGATATTAATTGAAAACAAAAATTAAAATATTCACGACAGTCACGATTCTTTTTAATCTAAGCTTTACAATATCCCTGGAAAACAATTAAAAATCCACGCCTGACAGTCACTACTGTTTTTTAACAAAAAAATTTAAAAATTAAAAAAAAATCAAAATCCACACCTTATGACAGTCACTAAAATTTTTATAACCTACACAACTATGTTATATTAAAATATTATAGCGTTGTGCAGTTTGTAACGCTGCGAAATATTGGTCCTAGACCCACCTTTAAATATACCGATCATCATATCTCAACGAGCTGAGTCGATCTAGACATGTATGTATGTCCGTCCGTCCGTCTGTCCAATATAATTTGTAAACACGATACAGACCACAGTTATGGAACAATCTTCACGAAATTTTGAATGTAGGATGGGTTCTGACCAATGAAATAATAATATTTGGGGGATTGAATGGACCAAAAACTTTATTTTTGTCAGATTTTCTGGTCGCTCCAGAGGCCGCAATTATGGCCCAAATTTTTACATAGGGAAGGGAATCGGGCCGAAGAATAAGCAATCCCTGTTTTTATAAAGATCGGCCAATATTTAGCGGTTCAAATGGATCCTGACTTTTGTGTGAAACCCCTGAAAGTATTTACCCGAGAAGTTGATAGTACAGGGTGAGATGAAAAAACTGCAACCAGACTGCTGTCATTTCTAAGCCACTCGTCCGAAAGCTGTTAAATTTTTTCCAGTGACAGCTCATTATATTGTTTACAAGCGTACAAAAGAATTTTTCCAGAAAAAAGTTATTCGTGAGGAACAGAAAGGAAATAGACTGAAAAGAGATAAAGAGCATGGCCGAAAGTGGTGAACTGTCGAATTTGGTGAACTTCGATGAAAAAACATTCGTTGTCCAGCAGTCTGTAAACAAACAAAATTATCGTGTTTAGTTGCCAAAGAGGTCAGCTGAAAATGTGAACCTTCGGTTCGGCTATGGTGATGGTGTGGGCCGCCATAACAACCGATGGTAGCTCTTCGCTCGTATTAATCGATTATCATCAGAATCAATGCTGAATATTATCGAGAAAATATTCTGTAGGGTGTATTAAAGCATTGGACACGGAAACATTTTGGGCGCAGACCTTGGACATTCCAACAGGACCATCCTGAGTGTGATGGTGAACGCGCCACCCAAGAATGGTTACAAAATTATGTTCATCGCTTCATTTCCAGCGCTTAATTGCCACTAACATCTCCTCCAAGGTTGGCACTTAAAAATACCAAAGTTTAGATCGCCTCAAGCAAGCGCTTCGCCGGGAATGGGCCAAAATACCGCAGAGCAACAATCGGGCAGCGTGTGATGGTTTCATTAGCCGTTTGAAGGCCACAATTCGCGCCAAAGGTGACCAATTCGAACAAATCTAAACTTATTCTAAAATGTGACGCTATTTCCGACATTTTTGCTTTCATTCAATAAAATTTAAAAAAAAAATGTAAAAATTATGGCGCATGACTTTTTGCATTTTTTTTATCTCACCCTGTATATCCAAGAGGAGAGGTTGACCTTTAAATTGATACCAATATTGTGATATGTACTCGGATGTGGGAGTTCAGATAATGTTCAGATAATAATTTTGGAATGAATTCAACCGAAAACTTAACTTTAATCGAAGCCTTACAATATTCCTTAACAAAGGCCATTCGACAACCCCTAAAAATATTTTTAAGAAATTAACGCCTTATTATAGCCCCTAAAATATTTTTTAAAAATCACCTTTACAAATCCCGGTTTTCTTTATACAGGCTAATTGGTCTTTATACAGAACTATAACCTCTCAGCAGAACTGTGGTTTCTATACACTAATTGGTCTTTCTAATGACCTGTAGCCTCTATATAGACCAATTCGACACTATATACCCCTGTGTTCTATATACAGACCTCGAGTAATAAATTCGATGAATATAACTTTAATGCACAAACTTAAGTAAACAACTTTGAAGATTTCATCCTTTCTTTAATTATTTCCGAAAATCATACCCGGAAGATCCTCTCTCTATATACCACTGTGCTTTATAATTTTCAAATTAATTATTTTGTTAATTCTTTATTATTTCAACAGCTAACATTATGCTGACAAATATTATGTCAAGCATGAAATTCATTAACCCATTGTGGTGAGTTCAATAAACGAAAATTTTTTAATACATACAAATACCCCTGTTCCATAAACGTACACACACACTCTCACAACTCATTATCCAAAGTCGGCATTTTTAGTAGATCTTCAAATAAAAACCTAATTAACCACTAATGCAGTTGTATCTTCACTCTATGGGCTGTTTTTGCTTTCACTACTGCTGCTGCTGCTTCTGCTGTTGTTGATGGCGATGGTGAACAAAAATGTAAAATGTGTTAACACAATCTAAATCTCCGTAATCTATTTGTCTATTACCGTGTTGCCATTATACACAATGGCTTCAAGTCAAGTAGAATTAATGCCCCTTAACATACGCACGCAGTAGTCTCTCGCAGTTGGCTGCGTACGTATGGTAAATGGGTGTGTGTGTGTATGTTGGTAGCAGGAACGAGGAAACAGATAGTCCAACAATTACGCACAAACGCACTCACACACACACACGAACAAGGATAGATACATAAATAAACATAAAGGAATTAAACCGCAGAACCAGGTTTTCACACTATTTTGCTTTCCTTTTTTTTTTGCAAAATTTCGGTAGGATGCAAACAAAAACAGCTTAGCCAGAATAGAACAAAGCAAAAGGTAGCACGCGCTGCAAACACCACCTCGCCACAATACAGCAAGGGCGGCTGTAGATAGACAACAGCCATGGGATTTGCTGAGGTAGGATTCTCTGTTTGAAAATGTAACGCTCTCGGTTACTCTCTCTTGGCTAGGATTTTGAAACAAAGGATATTTGTTGTTGTTGTTTATTTGTTCGAACAAATCCCAGCCAACGTAGAGAGATGTATTGGTGATATGTGCTTTGAGATAGCAGCTAAGGCTCCGCCTACCTTTGAGAGTTACCAAAACCAACCACCAACTATAACTGGTTTCCAATTTGAATTTCATTTCCCCTGCCAGGCTGTGTGTTGTGTGTGTGTAAATGAATGAATAATTGAAGCCAACAACAAAACTCACTGAATGTTTGTTACGGCTGTCTGTCTGCCGTTCACGGTGAACGAAATATTGCTTCTGTGCCACAATTTATGGGGTTTCATGTTTATTGCTACCTTTGCTCTAAGACAGAACGTTACGTGTTTTTGGCGCTCCGCTTGATGGTAAACGATTTTAACGACGCGTTTTAAACTTTTTTGCAAAGTTTTGTTCGCCACTGAATGAGTTAGTGTGTGTGTGCCTAACGTACGCGAAAGTGTATGAGTGTGTGGGTGTTTGTGTGCAATCAAATAATTAAACGCCAATTTGTAAAAGGCAACAACACAAAGGCAACGCAACACTAAACTAACGAACGAACGGTAGTAGATGTTGTTATTGGCCAACAAACAACGTCTTGTTAGCTTGGATTAATTCATTAAACTAACTGAACTCGTTATGACGACAAGTGAATTAAATTCTATTAACCATAACTAAATAAAAAGCTGGAGAAAAGCTTTACAGGCTTTGTTAAGAAAAAAATTATAATAAATACAAATTCAGAAAGCAAAAAATAATAAAACAAAATTCTTATTATAAAAAAGTGTTTAAAAAAATTACCATCAAATATGCAATTTTTGTAACAACATTTGCAAAAAAAATTTAATAAATATTTAAAAGAAGTGATTAATTAAATAAAAAATAAATCGAAGTAAAACTCCCTCAAACAAAATGGACATTAAAACCACACCGCCACCAAATCAAACATCAGCAACGACGGTAACTTCAAATTCCGTATCCGGTGTTACATCGCCGCCAACAACTCCACCATCACCAATGGCCGCCGCCTCATCGGTTGCCGCTTCTATAACCACCGGCCTAACGGATGTTCAAAAACAAACTTTTCAACATATTTTTGAAAAACTAGTTGCAAATAGCGGTGGCTCGGCCAAAGTGCCTCCCAAACAATATGAATATTTTCGCAATCTATTGGAAAATGTACGCGACCCGAAGAATATTCAATTGATTGTGGAGAAATTTAAAAATCTCGAACATATGGAGGGACATTTTGTGCAACAAAATGGAAATAAAAATGCCGTTATGAGTGAAGGTAATTTTTTTTAAAACTCGCCTAAGGTTGGAGTGGATTATAATATTTCCTATAGGATTATAGTGTATTGTATCTCCAAATATTTGCCGTAGTTCCGATATTTATCAACGTTCCACCTTAAAAACTTTGTCATATCAACGAACATATTTTGATGATTGGCTCAAGAGCGAAATCGGACAGTTTTGGTTCCTCTCAAACTTGAAAGTTTCTTTTGATAATATTCTTAAAATTCCTAACAAAATAACTCACCTAGGGTCGGAGTGGATTATACTATTTCCTGTTGGATTAACTTGTCAGTAAATATGATCCGATGTTGCAAAATTTATAAGTATCCAAGTAAAACTTCAAAATTCCATAGTTATATGATGTGAATAAATTAGTTGAGTTTGTATTGAATTTGGTATTCGTTATCTTGGACAGGCTACATATCTTTGACGGAACGAAGTAGGACAGTTTGGATTTGTCTCCAACTATAAATTGGTTTTAGTTAAATACTCTTAAAATGTCTGAAGTTGTTGATGAATTTTCTGAGAGCAGTCCTATACCGTTTAAATTTATACATAAATTTGCAAGTCCAGCACTCGACATGATTTATCTACCACACCAACTAATGTAAGGCGCCAGAATGGCAAATTTTTCGGAGTCAGAAATATTCTGAGATAAAATTTAAACGGAAAAATAGAAATGCTTTCAAAACAATGCAGTTTTTTGTTTACAGCGAAACACTTCGTCAAAAATGCCAATCATGGATTTTGCGCCAGCTCAAACATCGATGCAGAGCCATTATGATGCCACAATTATCGTATTCACCGAACTTGTGCCAAATTGACCTTTTCATCTTACCAAAACTGAAAACACCTTTTCATAGGTCTGCGATTGGGGAAATAAAAGAAAAATCATATGAAAACCTTTCAGAAGTGCTTCGAGGATTAGACCTATATCGAGGATTGGACCTATATCGATGATTGGACCTATATCGAGGATTGAACCATATATATAAAAAATATGACCCCTATTTCCGACATGGTACGCAATAAATCATCTTTCATTATTCGTTTTTGGAATTTTTCCGAAGACTTTAGACAAGTATTTTGCTGTACCACTTAAGCCTAACCGCCTTATGTTGCTCAAGCGGAACTGCCATGGCCAGTTTTGGCGAAGAAATCGATGGACATTTATTTGTCGTAACCATAATCTTGTCGTAACCACCTACGCAGCACGAAAATATTCACAAGACACTGTAAACAACACAACACATGGTCGTACGCCAACCCTTCTGAGTACGTTTGTACTACAAAATATCAATCATTATGATATACAGGTCAGATGTCCCCAAGCAACACTAAGTTTTGTCTGGACCAGGAATGTTAGTAGACCTATTAGCGGAGTTGATACTTCAACGTCTTCGAAAATGTTCACAAGATACTGTAAAAAACACAACACATTGCCGTACGCCAACTCTTCTAAGTACTTTTGCACTACTCAGACAGGTCAGATGGTCCCAAGCAACACTAAGTTTTGTCTGGATCAGGAAAGTTAGTAGGCATGTTAGCGGACACAATAGAGTAGACACTTCAAGGTCCTCGAATATTATTCCTCTCATCTTTGGATTCTCATGGATTAGATCAAATCGAAAATTCGCGCTTTGTGAGTTTTATATGTATATATGTTTTTTCATATGTTCGCCATTATGAGGATCTTGATCTATATTTAATAAGAATTTCAGTAGACAAAATATTAACTAAAACGAATCTTCCATTCATGTTGCAATAAGTCAGTGTGAAATCCGTTAGATTGTTCGAGGGCCTCAAATAGTGTTTAGATGGGTCATATCCGAATCACAAACAAACTTTAATTTCATAGAAAAAAATTGTTACCAAGTTTATGTATAAATCAAAAATCCTTTGAATTAAGCAAAAAAATCTGAAAAAAATCTGGAGTAATAACTCATTACATTTAATTAATTATGTCCCTATGCAATTATACATCTCAATATTCGGTATGTTAAAGGATCTGTTTTACACTATAGAATATTTTTTTCAAAAACCATCATTATTATTATTTGAATTATTCTCATTATTGTCTTTAATTAAATTAACCACACACTCACACACAAGCCTGCCTTTGAATGTCCTCAATTCGAAGCACAAACCGCATTAGCGGCCTTAATGTCCTTCTCTAATTTCATTAATTAAACATTAAATATCTAAATGGACTATAATTATCTATTTTAAATCAACATCATAAAATGGTTTTATAATTATCGCAAACACGACCGATATTTGTTATCAGATTATAGCGAAAAACTCTAACGAAATGGAAACTTGCAGGCGACTGGCCAAAAACACAAGCCAACAGGCCGCCAACGACAACAAAAACATTTAATTTGTTTATAGAATGACATAATCGCACGACAATATTGGCAACAATTAGTTCTTATATTTACATAGTCATACATTTAGACGGTAATCACCCGGCAAACGAATAAAAACGAAAACGGGTTAAAAACGAACGAACATGTGTGCCGGTCATGTCCAACAAAGATTCATATTATTCATTAAATGACAGGACATTTCAAAAGTGATTTAATTAACAGAAATTGCATTCAGGCACGCATTTAAAATTTACAAAAAAAGAACGGCAAGTTCTTTACTGGCCCTTCTTTTTTAAGCTTTTTTTCCTATGCAACAGCCTGGCGTCTGGTAGCAACACGTGTACACGTTTACATGTTGTCAACTTTGTTTAATAAAGAAAAAACACAACGACAGGTTTTTTGTTGTTCCCCATATCAGCGCATTTTCCTCCGCCTCTTCCCTTTTTAATAAGAGCAATTAGCAAAACGAAAATATTTTTTAGAATGAAATCATTTGAAAATTAAAACTAATTATAGAGTAATTTTCAATGCAACACACATACATGCATACACACATGGAAAAAACAGGATATTCACGCATACCAACATGCATGCATAAGTGGAGCTACTAACTCCGGACTGAACTTTACACAAATGCATTGTAGTCTAGGAAATTTGTAATTAAAAACTAAAAATAAGACTTGGGATTTAGTCGAACCGAATTATAAGGACCTTTAAATATTCTCTATGGCTAAAATTAAAAATAAATTAGAATTAAAAATAGTATGGACTTTCAAAAATATTTTAGAGAATTCTCAAATATGGACCTTCAGATATTTGCCTTAAACATCAGGATTATAGTTCAAACTGATCCTCAGGAAATATTTTTAAAATATCCCCGAATAAAAAAAAATCGGAGTGAGTAAAGCATTATCGCATTCACATTGTTTAGATTATCAGTTTGTTTTTGACTAATGAAAATGGTTAGTCTTGTTTTGGTGTGCTCTTCGATTTTTATATTCAAATTTTTAATTTCTTAATCAGAACTTAATTTTTTTTTAAGATATCGTACTTCCTAAAATCATTAAAAATATAGTCTCAAAATATTTGACGAATACGAAGGCTAATATATATATTTTTTGACCATTGCAACATTAATTATGCAAATTTTATTATGGCATAAAAGTTGCCGCACAGTAAACCGCACTGATTTGACGTACGACCATGTGCTGTGTTGTCAACAGCAACTTGAATAATTAAATTGCCAAAATTTGGCCTTGTTAGATTTTCTCCATTATTTCAAAGAAATTTGCAAAAAGTACTATCGGGGTGCTTCAAAATACGTTCAACAAAGATGACAAATAATGGATCTAGGCGTGTGAACGGGTCTTCGAGTAAAATCCAACGATAACTTTTGGCGGAAGACAAATGGTGTCTATTCCTTCGACAAAACTAATCACGTGAATAGTGTGTTTTTTGAAAAACGTAGGACAGTTAGTTCTGAGTAGGAAAACTTGAAAGGAAGATGAATTATGGTTAACCAAAACAATAAGAGCTTACGAAAATCGGCTCAAATCGGAGAATTGTTTACCGGCCTAAACGAATTTAAATTCTTGGGAGAGAAATATATAGAACAAGAAAGAAATTTTTGATATAGGTCTATGTTTGGGCATGACGATAACCCGCCATATTCCGTATTTTGAGTCCAAATCTTCCAAAAATTAAAAATTTTGGTCGATCTTTGATATAGCCCCCATTTGAAGGTCCTGCTTGTACATTTCAAGGTCCCAGCTCAAATTTCAAACCTGAGTTGTTGCCGTTTAATATATTGTTTTCTACTGGCAGCAAGTTATCATATAAATTTCCTAGACAATTTTATAGGTCTCCATAAAATATAGAATTTTTTTCTATAACATTTTATAAGTCTGGGATGCCTGCTTCTATACAATTTATCTATACTAATAAAAGAGTAAAGTGATTGACTGACTGACTGATTGACTGACTGACTGATTTAACGATTCATCAACGCCCAGACGAAACGGCTGAAGCTAGAATCTTGAAATTTTGGGTGAGGGTCACTCTTGGCCCAAATGTGACAGATAAGGCGGGGTTTTTGGAAATTCGTACTAGAAGGGTACGAAAAGTACTAAAAAGTACTAAATATGATATCATTTGTATTTGGCGAACCAGTAGAGCTAGAACTCTGAAATTTGGATTGAGGGTCACTGATGGAGTGTAGGATAGATGTACCAAAGGGTTTTTGAAAATTCGAACTACTACTATCCGAAATGTACTAAATTTGGTACAATTCTGTAGCATGAGAACGGATAGAGCTAAAAACTTGAAATTTGGAATGCGAATTAGGGTTGGGAAGTAGGGTCGATATAAGGAGATGGTTTGAAACCGTGTACTCATGTGTACGAAAAGTACTATATGGTACTATATTTGGTACAAATTTGATTTGGAGGTACAAATGGAGCTAGAATCCTGAAAATTGATATTAACATTACCGTCGGAGTATAGGATTGGGATATGTACGTAGTTTTGGAAATTTTTTACTTATGAGTACGAAAAGTACTAAATCGTACTATAATTGGTACAATTTGGATTTGGGTGAACCGATAGAGCGGGAACAATAAAATTTGGAGTCAGGATCACTGTAGGGATGTAGGATTAGGGTCAGGATTCAGTTTAAGAAAATAATACTTATGGGTACTAAATGGTACTAAATTTGGTACAATTTGAATTTTAGGTGAACCAATAGAGCTAGAATCATGAAATTTGGAGTCAGGATCACTGTTGTGGTGTAAGATTGAAATATGTAGGAAGTTTTAGAAATTTGTACTAATGTGTACTAAATTTGGTACAATTTAAATTGTGGGTGAACCGATGGAATTGGAATCCTGAAACTTGGATTTAGGGTCACTGTGGGGGTGTTGGTTTGAGTTAAGTAGGAAGTTTTGGAAATTCGTACCACTGTGTACTAAATTTGGTACAATTTGAATTGTGGGTGAACCGATAGAGTTGGAATCCTGAAATTTAGATTTTAAAGTACTGTGGGGTGTTGGTTTGGGTTAAGTTGGAAGTTTTTGAAATTCGTACTAAATGGTACTAAATTTGGTACAATTTGAATTTTAGGTGAACCAATTGAGCTAGAATCATGAAATTTGGAGTCAGGATCATAGTTGAGGTTTAAGATTGAGATATGTAGGGAGTTTTAAAAATTTGTACTAATGTGTACTAAATTTGGTACAATTTTAATTGTGGGTGAACCGATGGAATTGGAATCCTGAAACTTGGATTTAGGATCACTGTGGGGGTGTTGGTTTGAGTTAAGTAGGAAGTTGTGGAAATTCGTACCACTGTGTACTAAATTTGGTACAATTTGAATTGTGGGTGAACCGATAGAGTTGGAATCCTGAAATTTAGATTTTACAGCACTGTGGGGGTGTTGGTTTGGGTTAAGTTGGAAGTTTTTGAAATTCGTACTAAATGGTACTAAATTTAGTACAATTTGAATTTTAGTTGAACCAATTGAGCTAGAATCATGAAATTTGGAGTCAGGATCATTGTTGAGGTTTAAGATTGAGATATGTAGGGAGCTTTAAAAAGTTGTACTAATGTGTACTAAATTTGGTACAATTTGAATTGTGAGTGAACTGATAGAGTTTGAATCCTAAAACATGGATTTAGCATCACTGTGGGGGTGTAGGTATGTAGGAAGTGTTGAAATTTTGTATTACTTTGTACTAAATTTGGTACAATTTGAATTGTGGGCGAACCGATAGAATTGGTATCTTGAAACTTGGATTTAGGATCATTGTGGGGGTGTAGGATTGGGGTATGTAGGAAGTTTTAAAAATTCGTACAAATGTGTACTAAATTTTGTACAATTTAAATTTTTGGTGCACCAATACAGCTGGAATCCTGAAATTTGGAGTTAGGGTTACAGTTTCAAAATAGTACCAAATGTGGATTTGAGTAAACCGACAGAGCTAGAATCTTGAAATTTGAAGTTAGGATCACTGTCGGGGTGTAGTATTGAGCTATGTAGAAAGTTTTGGACATTCGTAATAATGTTTACTAAATGGTACCAAATGGTGGTTAGGATCACTGTTGGGGGGTTCGAATGGGGTATGTAGGAAGTTTTGGAAATGTGTACTAAATGGCACTAGATTTGGCACAGTTTGGATTAAAAGTTAACCGATAGAGCTGAAATCTTGAAATTGAGTAATAAGGTTTTCATTGGATTGCATGATGTAGGTAGTAATGCAAATTTGTACCTATGTGTATTAAATGGCACTAAGTTTGAAACAAATTGGATTTAGGCGAACAGATAGAATCCTGAAATTTGAAATTAAGATTGGGGTATGTGGGAAGTGTTGGAAATTCGTATGTTAATGTAGGAAGTTATGACAATTTATATATTTATGTTTACTAACTGGTACTTAATTTGGATTTGGGTGAAGCTATATTTGAAATTTAACTAAATGACACAAAATTTTGTATAGTGCTTGATTTATTTTAAGAGAACATTGGGACCAAACGGTTTTAAAAGTGTTAATATTGGTTGGTATTGGGTTTTAAATACTTCCCACATTCGCTGACGAAGTAGCGGGTATATGCTAGTTTTCTATAAAATTTAAAAGGTCTCTATGGCCAATGAAAAATATTTTCTATAAATTTTGAAAGGTCTCAGAGGCCTATGGACAGCCCTCGGAAGCCTATGAAAAGCTTACTATAAAATTGTATAGTCCATCGAAGCCTATGGACAATTTTCTATAGAATTTTATAGGAATTTAATTTTATCATATAAAAATACGGACCGACTTTATGTCAACCTCATGGTGGGGGGAATAAAATAATGGACCCTACTACACTTATAGATGTTTTTAATTGTTTTTTATCTAAAAATTTGCTATTAGTTTTTGGATAATATGATAAGGCTCTTGCCAATATTATACTAAAAAATGTTTATATTTTTTTTCATAATTTACCAACAGTATTCGTTTATGTTTCTTATAAAATCAAAAGCCAAATATACTTTTCTTTATGTAGTGTATACAAATACTGAAAAAATGTGTGTTAAAATGCCAACATGCAGTAATAAACATGAAAGTCACATTAGAGCTTGTCCACCAAACATTCATACACGTTATTTTTCATTTTTAATAGAAATTGTAGGTCGTTGCATTCGTTTAAATAAAATTTTAATTTTTTAACAAATTTAGCCATTTTGATAAAATTATGGTCTTTGTACGTCGTTATAGCTGCTTTGTTTATTAACTTGATTATAGTATATATATTGGCCAGAGGACTAGAGAATAGCGGTGGTTGGGACTTTGCATGTCCGGCACTATTTTGAATTTGAACAATTTAACCGAAATTTAATGCACTCTGAATTGCTTACAAAACTAACATGATTTTGACGTGCTGCTGATAGCATTGGAAATTTTATGTGTGTTTTAAATATTTAATTTCTATTGACATGTGTTTTTAATTTTGCGACCTGTTTTTTAATAGATAACGAGGTCATATTTATGGTGACCTATTTTAAAAATTAAATTATACATTTCATTATTTTATCTTTTTCTCTTTAACAGATGAGGAATTATCGCACAAGGATAATGTACGCAAATATGGCAATACAAATCAAACCCTAACACCACGCCACACCATCGATGCCATATTGGGTTTGAAAAATCGCCAGCATATTAGCAGTAGTGAGAGTAAGTATTTGCAAAATGTTGTTTATTACAATTTATAATTTGAAAATATATTTGTATTTATATCTTTAAATCAAATTAATTTTTAGACGCGTCAAAAGTCATAAACCACTTTTCGACAACACCTTTATTTATTATTTGTGTGGAACATTGGGCGTTTTGAAAACCAACAACAAGAACGAGAAAGTAATCATTGCGAAAATCAAATCAAACTTTTGTTACAAGTCATACCAATGCCAACCAATGTATTACAACTTGATTTGACAAAAAGCAAAAAACTTCCCTAACATACAAAAGGCTTAAAGGTTGTTGTCTAACGTGACATCACCATGTGGCACCAGACACATGATTACACCCTGCCACAAAAAATTGAGTTTATATTCTTATATTAAATTTTTCATTCCGTTTGCAATACCTCAATATAATAACCGAATATCCCATAAAGTATGTTAATTTTTGATCAGAAAAGTTCCATGTTTTCCCCATACCAATGAAATTTGTTCTATAAAATTGTATAGTCCCCAAAGCTCTATAAAAATTTCATAGGTTTCGGGTGCCGGGTGAAAATTTTTCTAAACAAAATGTATAGGCCTCCTTTTTAAGAAATATTATAGGGCTCGACGACCTATGTATAATTGTATAAGGGACCAATGAAATTTTTTATGCAATTTTATAGGCCTCAGTGGTCTATGAAAATTTTCCATTGGCCTCGGAGGCCTATGAATAATATTATATAGCCTATTAAAAATGTTCTATACAATTATGTAAGGACAATTTTCCATAAAATTTTAGGCCTCAGAGGCCTTGCAAATTTTTCTATAAAATGTTATAGGATTCGGAGGCCTATGAAAAATATTCTATAAAAGTATATAGGCCTCAGATGCCTAGGAAAATGTTTCTAAACAATTTTATAGGCCTAGGATTTTAATTTTTTTTTGTATTTTCTAAAATTTTATAGACCTATGAACAATTTTATATATAAAATTGCAAAGGCCTAGGAGGTCAATGAAATTTTTTCTTTGAAATTTTATAGACCTCGGAGGCCGATGACAATTTTTCTGTAAACTTATATAGGCCTCGGAGGCTTGCGAAAAAAATTACTATTACATTTTAGAGACCTCTGAGTCTTATGAATTTTGGTTTTTATATTTTCTTTAAAATTTCTATAACATTTTAGAAGCCTCAGAGGCCTATGAACAATGAAAAATTTTGCATAAAATTATATTTCTGAAATATGTTTTATAAAATACTATAGGCCTCGAAACATTTTTTTATTAAATGTCATTGACCTCGGAGGCCAATGGAAAATTATATATAAAAAATTGAAGGCATTGGAGGCATACGGGAAATTTTCTGTAAAATTTTATAGGGCTCGGAGGCCTTGAAAATTTTTCTATAAAATTGAATGTTTGTTAAAAAAACATTCAATATTGGTTCACTCTTTAGGGTTGGTCCTAGTCAAGCTAGTGGTGTAGGGTAAACTATGTTCGTCCCGGCCGAACATAACGACGTTTTTGCTCCTTCTCTACTCCTTGATTTTGTCTAAACAAGACACAGAATTTATATATAATTCGGTTAAACAATCATTTTCATAAAACCCATGGCAAACTTAAATAACTAGAATGCAATAAAAACGCCCATTTAAAACACTTTCTTCAAACAAAAAAAATGTGTAGTTAACCCTCTACACAATTTTTTTGATTGATAGATTACGAAAATGCAATCAATTTTTATTTCGTGGATGATTTTAACACCACAAAAAACGGAAATGGATTAACCTAATCCAAAGACCTATCAAGGTGTGAGTGTCTTATCTCTTTAAGGCTATCATTTTGGATTTGAGAAAAAAAACACAAAGTTTAACAAAACTACACCTACTTGAGCTAAAACTTTTATTTCTCTTTACACATTGTTCCCTTCATTTTCGCTCTTGCAATAAATCCTTTTTACCATGTTCTTGCACAATATTCATAATTTGCACGCCCTTCGTTTCCTCAATTGCTTTCTTTGAAAAAATAGAAATTGTGAATCTGGAAATTTTGTGGCGCTAACTTGTTATTTTTCCTACAACTCCCCCTCTGCTCTCCCACTCTTTCATTTCCATAGTGGTGAATATTTAAATTGTATTTTTCCTTATCGAATTTGTAATCGTTGGTGGTGGTGGTGGCAAGACATGAACCTTATGTGATTATGATTACGTGACATTTACGATTTCGTTTGTTGTTTTTGTTTTTTTATTTGGTTCTATCCTGTTCTCCTTATGGTTGTTGCTACTGCAGTTGTTTGATTTCCATGATTTTGTCCTCCCCTTTGTCACGTTAGCAAATTTATGAATTGATGGGGCCAGTCAGCCTTTTACACAATTCACGGCAGCCAATTTTGATATTTTTGTTTGCCAAGCATTTGTCAAACGTTAAATTTATGGTGTAATGCCAAAATAATGATTTCTAATGAAAGGTTACAAAATGATTAAATCACAGGTGTGTGTGTCGTCACCGACAAGGTGGGTAGCGTTCCTAGCTAGTTAGCAATGAAATCAAGATCTATATTTTGTGCTTAGTACATGTCGGAAAGAAACGGGAATTCTAAGGAAATGTTTATTTGGAAGAAAACAAAAAGAAGAATGGAAGGTTGTAATTTGTCCTTGTTAGGAAAGAAGGTTTTTTTTTTTGGGGGGGACTTTAGTTTTATATAAGTTTTTTTAACCAAAAAATGTAATATTATAAAGATATTTATATTCGATTTTTTTGCTTCCATTTGATAAACATTGAACAGGTTTATAACCGATCATTTTAAATTATTAGTAAAGTTTACACTGCTATTTTCTTTCGCATTCTATTCAGATGCAAAATCGATCCCGTAGAATTGCTTTATAAATACATGTATTTTTGGGGAATCATCGTATTCTCAGAAGGGAAAGTGCAAATAGTTATTAGTAAATCAATATCCGAATCCAATCGAATGTGAAGTATAGTATATCAAAATTTATTGCGGATGTGAAAGTACCTATAAAAGACAAAACTTCCCTATTGTTTTTATGAACAAAAAATCCGATTTCCATTGAATAAAGAGTTTCTGGTCACAGTTTCCTTCAATCATGTATGAAGAAGGTGGTAATTTTTGGCTTAAGAGTACCTAGTATTGTTTGAAGTACCAACATGTGTTTTGTTTTATAGCAATTTGAAAAACCAATTCCTTAAAACTTCTTTTGATCATGGGTTTACATACATTAGTAGAATAGGATCCGAACTCTATTTTCTCAAACGTACATTTTGACGTACGAATATATTGTGTGTTGTTTACAGTGTTTTGAAAAATAAGACATTGATAATATCGTATCTGGTGACAACTCATGCATATGAACCCGAAACTAAGTAGCAATCAACCCTACTAAATTCAAAGAAAGCTGTTCGTGGAAGAAGTATTTCGAAGAAAAGTGTCGCATTTACCATCGCAAAATAAGTCATGTGAAGATTGTACTGCTCGACCAACTTAGAAGTGCTGGTAGAACGGACAGGAAATCAATTAGGCACCACATAATACAGGGCAGAAATAATTTGTTCTTTAAAAAATATATTTTTGCAATGAAAATGTTCATATTGTACGACACTTTGGTACAATATGGTGCCCTCGACTTCTTCTACCCAGTATCCAAGTCTATGAATGCTAAATAGGTATTGTACAGTATATAACCAATTGTCTTTATCTATGAAAAAAAAAAACAGTGAGCGGAGCAGTATAGTCACAACTACCACGGAACTCAAATTTTCTGCGGATGTATATTCCGAGCCTGGGCAATAATTCGTGATATTTGCACCCTCTTGCCCGATTAGTGGTAAACAGCAACTCTTCCTCAAACTGACATATTTTCCGAATATTACGAGTATTCAGTACAGCTATTGTCCAGATTCCCTTCACCGTGGGTTGTGTTGTGATGTTCGGCTTTCATTTGTGGTCTATAGATCGACTCGATAATAACACAAAAAAATTAAGTTTTCGGTCCACTTCATTCCAAAATTATTATCTGATCATCACCGAAAATTATAGGCGTTGTCCTTGACCATAACTGGAACCTCATGGAACATTTCAAAGCGATCAGAGCTATAGTTCCGCTCTCTAGAGTTAAAATGGGTTACTAAATAATATACGAATACGGAGATCAGAGATCAGAGATGGTCCGTCAGAAACAGTGACGTAAATGACATACATTTTCGACGTATATTACATACGTCAGAAACGTCGGAAACCCACCCAAAACCATTAGGTTTTTGACAAAATACCTATTTCCATTAATGAATTTGGAAATTACGTATGCTTTACTGAAATCCATACAAAATTTCAAAAAATTTTTCTCTAAAAAGTTTAGAATTTTGTATTAGTTCTAGTAAGGAACAGACAGATTTATGTAAAAATAATATGTATTTTTGAAAATAACGGTATATGGTAATAATATTCGAATAAATTACGTTTTCTACATTTACTACATTTTACACAGGTATATGACGTTTTCGACGTTTACACCTTTTTGACAATCGAAAACCTAAAAATTCGTCACACGGACCATCCGGAGATACCTGTAAATATTTAGGTGTAACTCCCACATCCGAGCACATACAACAATATAATTGGTATTAATTTAAAGGTCAACCACTCCTCTTGAATATAATATAAACTTCTCGGGTCTATGTCCTTCAGGGGTAAATATATACGCTATAGAATACAAATGTTGTCATTTTTCACACAAAATTTCACGATGTTTGGGCCATAATTGCGGCCTCTGGAGCGACCAGAAAAACCGACAAAAATTTAGTATTTGGTCCATTTCATCCCCTAAATATTAATCGATCTTTCCCAAAAACAATAGTGGTCTTCATTGGCCAGAACCCATCCTACATGCAAAATTTAGATCGACTCAGCTAGTCGAGATACGACGATCGGTATACTTAAAGGTGGGTCTAGGACCAATATTTCGCGGCGTTACAAACTTTTGGGGCTGC